ATTGAGAAATTGCCGGGATTTTTTTTTATATTTCTTATCCCATCTGAATTCATCGGCATTACGAGGCATTTTTCATTGAATTTTTTCCATTTTCACTGGCAATATTTTTATTCTCTTCAGTTCGATATATTTTTTTTTCACTTCAATCGGGTCATGAACAAAAAGGGGAGAATTCTGCCGATTCACTTGGGCCGAGGCTACTTTTTTGCATACGCACTTTTTCATGCTAATGTGATTATAAATAAATTATTCGGTGTGGAGGTGAAATTGAAGTAGTTTTTGGAAGAGCCGAGTGGGTCATTGATTTTTGTTGCGCGGAATATGCACCGGGATGAATGAAATGAGAATATGAAAAGGTTTTTATTATTATTATTCTTTTTTGCGTGGCCATTTTTATTGCACACAACTGCAATTAATTTGCAATACCCCCGGCTAATGTGTTGGGGAATAAATGACGCGTGGAAAATAAATTTCAAACGAGGAAAAAGCGTTGTGAAATGATCGCTCGGGGCTGTTGCAGTGCGGAATTACTCAGCAATGCATGGACTGTATTGCACGTGAATTCAATTTTTTTTTTTTACCATTGACAACTCTGAATTTTACGCAACGAGATGGTTTTTTCATTACTACCCGGTCAGAGAACAAGAATTAAATCTAAAAGTCGGTGATTATGTGAAATGGTGTCTAGTTAAGTCAACAGTTCCGGTCAATAAATCAGAAGACGATAAATATTAATTGCTACAATTCAATCAACATGAAAAAACCACGGATTTGTCAATTAACCCGTAAATAAGATCGGTTATTACAAAAATCGCATGTAACTCAACTCCATAAATATTTCTATAAAATCCACTACCTGCTCTATTGACAAAACCATATGTTTATTCAATTCCAATTCGTTAAGTCAACAATCTAAATTATTGAAGGAATTAATCTGATTTACGTAACAGAATAAATTCGAGAGTTTGGGTTTGTCTTGAAGCGATGTAGACTGTCCAGGGAGATTGAACTCATAATTTAATAATACAGTTCAGTAATATGAGTGTAACGTTTTTGCTCATTTGAGAAAGAGACACTTTGCCGGCGCCATCTGCTGCGCTCCTCGGAATTCCTTGATGAAAGCCCTTTCTAAACATGTTTGCCGCAATGAAAACAGAATCTCAACGTAACAATTCAGTAGTAGTAAACCTGAAACTGGCTGCTCGGAGCGAGCCAATTTGACACAAGTCTAAAGACGGAGTAATAATTCTACACCGTCTGTACGACAACGCCACTTGGGCCACTGACGCGAGTGATTCACCTCGGGTTTTGATGGCAACAACAACAACAGAGAGAGAGAAAGAGAAAGAGAGAGAGAGATAAGGATGGCTTGTAAACACTCACTGGTGCAACACCGACACTGGGTTGTCTCTATTTTATTAATAGATAGACCGTACTGGGACTACATCTGGAGTTCGTCGAGTTCCAACAACTTTGGAATAACCTCTCCCTGCGTTTTGGCTCTCGACGGTTCTGCTGTGAAATAGGCGCAAGTTGTCTTTCTCGTTTTTTCGGGGATTCTGCCAAGTGCCAGTGGAGCCGCCAGGAATTAATGAGGGAACAAAAGACCAGTCGTCCATCAGGTTGTCGCCACTTTGACCAGCATTATTTTGCTTCGTAAATTGTACTGGTCATTCATGCTGGGACCGCGCCAATGACAGGAATTGTATGGCCTGAAAAAATGTGACTAATGAGTAAATGAAATGAAATAATGAACTTGACAAGTCGAGTTGGTAGATTGCCGATTCAAATTTCCCGCATAAACGTCCAGCTTCGGGCGGTCGACATTGGCCAATAGGAATGGGCGCTGGTAGTTTTGATGCGGACGATGTTCAGTCGGGTTTGTGACCTTTTAAGTGAAGGAAATGGACCTTTAACTGGTTGGTTATTGTCCTAGATGGGGTGAATCGATCTGCTGCATCGATATGTATCGGAATTGCAAGCCGGTGTGACCGGTCAGTGAATTTGATGGATGAAATTGGATAGATTGAATGCCACGAGGATTTCAATACAACTGACCATCAGGTGATGGACAGCTGTGAAACAGCCGGACAGACGGACTCCGGAGATAAGGAGGGGGGTGATGCAATAGTCGCAATCATATGGGAGAAAGTACTGGTCTTACAGTGGGATAACCGCTCTGTGCACGTCTCAGAGGCAAATCTCGTCGATGGCCGTAACTCCTGGCATACGTTTCGTAAAACTCGAGGATTTCCACTTCTCGGAGAGCACTAGCCATATCCGTTGGGCAAGATACATATCCGATTTTGGCTTCTGGATTTTATTTCAGGTATCTTGATTCTTCCAAGGGGAATTGCTTCAGAATAATTTAATCTGATTGTTTCAAAAGCATTTGATCAACGGAGAGAGACTTCTCGTGCGTCAGCGTGGAATCAAAATTTTTATCAATTCAATCCTGAAGGGAAGAGAGAACGTCGAGTTTAATTACTCGATTGCTTAATATCGTTGTAAAGAGATGTTTAATTACCATGAAAAGTAATCCTACGTATACTGTTATTTTTTTTCGACATATTCTTGTTCTATCGAGAAATATTCGGCGTTGAAGATTGTTGAAAAGTTTCTTGATTATTAAAAATGTTGGTGAGCGCTCTGAATTTTACTCAATAATAACATTGACTCATTAATTCCAAAAAAAATATAGTAATTGAAATATTAGCCCGAAAAATGTTCGAGATATTACGATATCATTACGATATCATTACGATATCGTACCATAGTATGTACAGCCTGATGATTTCTATGGATTGAATTCCTCATTTTATTTGTGATTTTGTGGAGTATCTTTGAAACGTCGGTCATAACGTGATTCAGTGATTTGAAACATTAAAAAATTATTGGTATATTGAAGGACAGTCGTAGCGAGTAAAAGTCCGGAGGTAACTAACAATTATATACCAAATATGAAAATTTATTATGTTTCTTGTCCTTGTAGTGTTTCGAAATAATGTGTGTTGCGTTGAAATATTTTTTGTTGTGATTTTTTGAGGCAATATTTTCAGTTGTATTATTCGATAGGCAACCGAAATGTTTTTAAATATAAAACAACGACCGTTTCATGAACCAGCAGTGATCTTTATTCTGAAATGGGAGACACATAATTGAGTGAATTTATAGGAAAACTGGCCACTGGGGGATAAACTGTTGTGAAAATTGGAAAATAGGAAAATTGGAAAGTAGGAAAGGGTGTGGAAAGTGATTATTTATGCAAGGGAATGCATAACAAGTGGTTTTGGAGTGTCAAAAATATAGTAGCAGTGAGATGTTGGTGATGGTTGGGGAAACGGGAGCATAATGCGAAACATTCTAGACAAGTTGAGCTCGTTGACGTTGGGTATATCCGTGTCAGCGCGACCGACAGAGCGCTTCAAGAAGAAACCAACCGGCGAGAGGAAGAGAGGGGAATGTGGAGATGAGGAAAAACGACAACGTGGAATCTCATCATCTCTCGGGCTATCCAACTGCTGTGCAAAAGGCACTCTCTCGCCCCCGATTACGTCATACTCGTCGGTGACGTTCTCCGGTGGAGTAACGAGCATTCCAAGCATTACCGCTTTTCCTGTCCTCCTTTCTGACCCTTGACGTCGTGCCAATGTCTGCACTTGGACGAAACTATTCCCTTTCCTTTTTGAACGAATTTTTCGGATCACTGGGCAATTTTTGGGGTACCTATTGAATCCGCCGAGTTGTTACGGGTAATAAGGCGAGTTTTTGATGAATATCTTAGAATCTAATGGGGATCTCGCTAGTTATGTCAAGATCTTTTTTGTAGAGTGTATCGGGAGCTATGAAAAAGAATTTTATGAAAATTTTGATATCTCTTTTCAATTCAGAGATAATCCTCGAAAACTGACTACCAGGAACGGAAGCTGAAGTTTTACATAAACAGCACTAGAATTTTTCATAATAAAATTTCTCTCCGTGCACGCGAATTTTCCTCGTACCGATACGAAATGTTTACATAAACCCCGAGGAAATTTTCTCGAATAACTCGAGAATTTGTGTGAAGAATTTCTCTCCGCGTATGAACGATAATTCCCCTCGCGATTTCCATAATTTCTCGATGAATTAGCAAGGCGAATAGTCTCCACTTAATGACGATTGTGATCACGATGAATTTAAATCTGGGGCGGTAGAATTCAGAAGTTCCCTGAATAATAATGGAGTCCCCGATCTTTGATGAGAGTTCATCGTACCCGCTTTATCACGATCTAGAACTGTACTTTGAATAAAGTCCTCTCATCACTCGATTCAACGTTTCTAGTCGTTTTATTTGCCTCAGAAGGCGACTTTTTTCCGGGTCGTTTGAATTATCGGGACTCCCACACACCCCATTGTATTTGAAAATCAAATTTTTTCACCGAATCGAGGGAAAAAGCCGAGATTTTCACAGACATTCCGCGACAACTCGACCGGTTGGAGATAAACGCTCGTAAAATCTGCAGATGAGGCATCTGAAATTTAGATGGCTTGAGAGAAAGTTCAGTCGGCTACGAGTTTATCGTGCGGGAAAACTCGAGGAGGATAAGAAAAATTTTTGCAATATCGCGAGCGATAAAAAAAAAACCCTTCAAATTTATGCGGAGTATTTTTCCCTCGGGCAGGAGTCCTGATAATACCCGCAATTAACAGCTCAAGGCCGACTGAAGTATAAAAATTAACCATTTAATTTATTAAGGTCGTTAGAAACAAATTCGAGACCCAAATGACCGTAAAACTTTTAACTAACAATGAAACAGCGAGCACCATTACCTCTGGCTTTTTTCTACCGAATGAAGCACTTCAGTTATCGCTTCAATAGTTATTCATAATAATAATAATACACCCGCTCATATGGCTTTAATAATCTTCATGACAATTGTTTATCGAGGATTGGAGATAAAAACTGGACATTCGCACGCGATCGACTGAGGGGAATCCAATTATTTCGATTGAAGCTCTTCCTCATTTATTTACGCTCGTAAATTTCTCATCCCTTTTTTTAATATTCAAATATTTATCATAAAAACCATTGATTGAATTGACCGGCTTTCATTTCCTAATACCAAAAAAAAAATCATCTAAATTTAACTCTAAATTGAAAAATAACATATTTGTCTTGTAATTAATCTCCAGCTCGATTGAATCTCCTGACATCAAAGACCTTGGAGGAAGATTGGCTCTGCTTTATGAACACATAAGACATATCAGAAATTCATTAGCCACTGGAGTACCAGCAAGGGGTACTGCTGATGCTGGAGTAGTTGAAGCGCTTTAGCTGAAAGATGAATCTGTTAGTTTGATAAGTGAAGGGGGAGGGAAATGTTCATAAGGCATGTGGCCTCTTTGTAGATGGTGCCCACCATGGGCTAATGCACTTAGCGGTAGAATCAATAACGCGAGGTTCTGCCTCCAAGTCTAGGAAGTATCTATCCTAGTTCCTCCAACTATCCCACTCTCAAAGCCCTCAAGGGCCAACCGCTCATATTACTCCTCTGATCTTCATACTCGGTATTATCCAATTGAAAATCAAATCAAATTTAAGACACTGTGTATTAACTTTTCTTTTAGCCGACCTTTTGTACCGGTCTCGAATATCAAAAGGATAACTCCTATCGATACAAAATTCTTAGTTCTTTCTCACCACGGCCACTGGAGTCATTGTTTATTGTTTATGTTCTTATTGAATCTTTGGCACTCTCCACGTCCATTCGTCTTCTGTACACACAATTCCATTGAATAATTCTTAGTCATGAAGCGATATACAGCGATAGAATCGAACAGCTGCTGATGTGCAGTTTTGGCGTTATGACTGCACCGGAGATCTTAATGGTCTAATATTAATTCAAGACCAATCGGTGCTCCAGAAAGTTCGCAGTAATTTTTGTTTTTTTATTTTTTAGGGTTTTCTTCAAGTTATTTTTTTACTTCATTCTCAAAGACCAGCTTATCAAGCTGTCGCTGTCCTCTTCGTCTTTACTCCTAGCTTCGACGCTCATTTGAAATTCCCTCTGAAATTCATGAGGGCATGCAAAAGTGGAGGAAAATGTTAGACTCTGAAGTCAGTGCGTCCTTCACTCCTGCATTATATCCCCCTGACTAAAAGTTCCAACTGATGTGTCAGGTGTAAGTGTAATTCCGACAGCGGGAAAATGTTGGCTCACGGGGAAAGAGATGAGACTGGGATTGTTGATAACACCCATCCTCTCCACTCGTATTTGCATTTTCCCGACGTATATTTTCATATTGCCAGCCAAGTTTTTCCTCTTGTTTACCACCGCGTCAACGCAAATTAGGGATTAATTCACCGCCTCCTGGATTTCTCGAGCGAAATTGTCACCTGAAAATCAAATTTTTTACTCGCAATTTGTCACTTTGGAAAATTACCACAACTTGATCAAAAGAGAACTGAAAAAAAAAGGACTATAAAAAGTCCGCTCTAAATTTTATTCAATAATAATATTACTCCTCAAAATATTCCAAAAATTATAATAATGTAAATATATTACTTCACGAATAAACTTGTCCGGAAAATGTTACAAGTCGAGCCATTACGATATCATTATATTATTTTTGAAAATATTACAAATGTATGGAATGTAATATAGATTGTTTACTGCGCAGAAGTGTTATACAGGCGAAATATTGTTGCCCTCAATTATTCTTGAAGCAATATACCTAAGTGTAGTTGTGATTGTTGTGATTTGCTTGAGTGAGCTGGGGATTACTTGAGGATTTCTAGGTATTCAATTCGTCATTCGGGCCGTAATGTTATGGAGTATCTTCGGTATCGAGACGTCGGTCATAACGTTATGTTGTGATTTGGAATAATTAAAAATTATTGGTATACTGAGGAGCAATTGTAGCGAGTAAAAGTTCGGGAGTAATTGACAATTACCAAATATGAGAATTAATTATGTTTCTTCCTTGTTCTTGTAATGTTTCGAAATAATGTATCTTTTATTACAATATTCTCAGTAAATATTCTATAATATATCCCTGCTGTAATATTTTGAAGAAATAATTTTTTCAGTTGTAATCTTTTGAGGTGTGATTTTTTGAGATAATATTTTGAATTGTGTTAATTTGGGTTATCAAACGTAATTATTAATTGAATTGAAAAATTAGAAAGGCAATTATGTGAGGCTCGACCTTTCAGCTCCACTGACTACCGAAAAAATAAAAATCATTGGTTTTTTATTCACGTCCCTCCGATTACCGTACGCACTGTCAAGACGTCAAGACTACGAGACGCGTCTCGTGCCCTCGGAGACCTCCGGACAATAGCGGCGCAACGTCGGCCCAGCCTTGGCGCCCACATTTTCCATCCATAGATCTCGATATCACTCGTTTTTCTTTCCTCATCATCGATTAGCGTTTTCATCAGCGAATGTGTGGCCATATCGAGGTGCCTGATGAGGCATTCAATTCACCATATATAGCCCGATAACCTATTATCGATGCAGTACTGTATCTGTCACCAATCACCTTGTCCCTGTTCCCATTGAGTGAGTCAGATCCATGGACTCATTTTACAATGAAAAATCTCGGAAATTAGAGCCGGTGAAGTATTTTATTTTATTGGGCTCCCAACATTTTAAAACGGAAAACTATTTTCTTCCCATATTTTCCAAAATTAGCCCGAAATATTCGAGAAAATAATTATTCATCATTTTTATATTGAAAACACTTGTTATTTTACTGCAAAGTCAATAAATAATGCATCCGGATGTCAATAATACTAATGAAGTTAATAAATTATTTAATATAAAAAAATGATTCTTATTGATTCTTATTATTATTATTGTTATTATTATTATTATTATCATTATTATTTTTATTATTATCACAATGTTTTTTAATGGCAGATATATATTTTTTTTTTGTGAATAAGAACATTTATGATATTTACAACGGGTAAGAACGCGGATTAATTGAATTAGATGATAATGACTACCTTGAAAATTCCATGAAGTCCATCGGCATTCGTGGATGAGTGCCATGGCCGCGGGAATAATGCGACACTGTTGGAATTTGGCGCGAGAAAGAACCAATGACAAAGGTGGAAGGACTCTTCTGCATCGGAGGGGGGCTAATTTACCCACTACAACCTGAAGGGGATATGCGTCAACCCAGTGGCACTGGGGGGCTCTGTGCCAGACTCTGGGCCAGGGTCAACCACTTGTAGGAGCCAATCCGAGACTCCACACCACCTCAATCCCTTTTTTCACCTCAATTTTCCACCTTTTCACCTGAAAAATTCATATTTTTTATTAATTCCTCAATCATTTCATTTTAGCTCACACATATTTAGTCGGTGAATTTTTTTTCCACGTCATTCTGATTCTCTCTCATTTTTCCCGAAATTTTTCTCGATGAATCGAATTTGCGGAATTAAATGTAAATTTTTTTAGCTAAATTGTAGGTGTCGTATTTGCCTTGCAATAAATTTCGGTGATAATAAAAATGATTTATATTTTTCTGTGTGGGGACTTTGTGAAAATGAAGTTTTTTAACATTCAACCGTAATTTCTGAAGAGCAGCCACTGGTTTCATGGACCTCTCGTACTGGCAACTAAACCATTTACTTCAAAACAGAAACCACCGCATTGGGTAACTCCTGGTAATGTGGGGAAGCAGCTAGTTAATGCTTGAGGTCCAGGTAGATGCAGTTGGGGATTTGCTGCAGGGAGATTCTCCATGCGGATAAGTGTATGAAGTATAAGTATAAAACATGATGTACATGTTACCAAATTCTCAGCCTTCATTATCGTAATTAAAATTCCTTCCCAATTGAAAACAAAAACATCCGCAAAAAACTAGAAAATTATCACTAAAAAAGAACAATTTTCTCGGCAATTTTCACGGATTGCGAATTCATTAATATTCTCTCCTTGAACTTCTTTTCATTTTCCCTTTCTCAACGAAGCAAAAGAATCTAAATTTCCCACGGAAAAACTGTTTCAATTATTTACCTTTATTACATGTAATTACGAACCTGTCATTTAACTTAATGGAACCTCCAAGGAGTCTAACTCCCCGTACTTTCCCCTCGAGCAACAAAAAATCGTTAGTAATAATTCCAAATGAATAAAAATTATCGTAATCAGCGATTCAACGATAAAAAACACCTGATACCACTGACATTTTCCCATTTTTCCATAAAAATGACACAATTTCAATAGACACTAAAAAATATCGTTATTCGAATAAATTAATGATCACAAATTAATTGCACTCAATAATTGAAGAAGCAGTAAAAAAGTAATTACATTAAATTGTGTTAATGAATCAGTCATTAGTTTCACGGATTAGTGATAAAAAAAACCGATGAGACACTGGCGTAAAAAATGTTTGAATCAATGTCATAGGTACAGTCACTTGACCCAAATAGGTATACAACGAGCCATTGGAGGTGAGTAAATAATTATTTGTGGATTTATCTGAATAGCGGCTTATAAATAATAACGGTCACGTTATTATATTATAATGTACCAATCTGATTGATAGATTTAAATGATAATAGCGACTGCTAACGAATTTCAATTGCTCTTCAGTATAGAAATCGACAATTCTGTTGGGTGAATTGACGTCAATCCGCCGTTTTGTCGAGCGGAAATTGCGATGGGTTTGCGGGCATGTCCTATGGGGGCTGAGGTCGACGGAAAAACGATCCCAAAGCACCCCTTGGATTTTCAGGTAAATGAGCTGAGAATAATGAGCGAAATTCCGAATACTTTTCACTACTGTCGACAAATCCTCAACCCAAAAGATCGACCAGATGACGTCAGGGGTTTACCGGTGAAATCGATGGCTCATAATACCCCATCACTGGTTTTCCACCTGTTTACGACTTACTGCACTTCAAATTTATTGAAAAATATTTTTCAATTTATCCTGAAAAAACGAAACTGACGTTAACATCTCAAACGCTCCAGATTCCCAACATTTGAAAGGTCTCAATTTCAGACCGCCAGTCTTTATCGTACCTAAACAGCTCAAACTCCACGGATTTATTATCCTAAAAAATTAAGCACATGGTACCCAAGTGTGTAATTACATAAATATTACAGTTTGCATGGAATGACTCCAAAGAAGTCCTCGGTGCTGAGTGTACCCTAGTCATTAGCGCGCGTTGCCTTTAAAGTCGAAAAATAGAGTGAAATTCTCGAATTTTTCAACTCTCAAAACAGAACAGTGCAATCTCTAAAGTGCAGTAATTGAGCTGTCAAACTCATAATGCTAAATCCCTCTCGGTCTTTCATTAATATAATATTAAATATGTAAAAAATAAAATGCATTGAACGATCGAGCGGTGCCTCGGGCCTGATTGATGTTTATTCAAATCGAAATACCATCGTAAACGATAATCATCGATGGATAAAAATCTTTACGATGAGCGTGCTTGCATTCTAGGTGCGCAGTGATGGTAATTACCATGTTGTAAAATTGGATTACTGGTCTTAAGTCGTAACGTTACAGTTCGGTGTTGTGGCGCCACTTTAAAAGCCAGTCGCACACACACGACGGAAAACGAGACTTTATCGCGGATGGATAATGCGGGTTCAGTTCACTCGTTGACATTTATTTTTATTGTTATTTCGGTGATAAACGGGCTAACGATCATTGTTCTTTGTTGTTCAAATGTTGCACTTCATTACGACTGAGTGGAGGAAATTAATAGAATTGCGCAACAATTTACCAATTTTATTCACTTGTTCGCAAAGATAAAAGTAACGAAATAATTATCGCAGGTGTTTTTCACCTTTTATCTCATTCATTGAAATTCGAATAATACTTCAATAATACATAATAGACTGAGAATATTTTATTTATAAATGAAATAGCAATTATTTTAGGTGAGGAAATAAGTAAATGTTCTCCCCCTTGTTTACTTGTTTCTGTGACATCTTGTTGTGTTGGGAAAATGAAAACATTGAGAAGTTTTCCACGAGTTCGTAAATCCCTGCCTTCTCATTCTTCTCGTCCCCGAGAAGATTTACTACCTGGGGTATTTACAAGAACTTGTTTGAGGGTGAATTGGCACCTTTTGGGTGAACGATAAAATCGATGAAGGCATATCGTGCCGAAGGGGGCTGGTACCTGGGGTACAACCAAAACGCATTCCTCTCGACTAAATGCTCGTCAAATGACTCTCATGCGGCCCTTTCCCTCCGAGGGTTCCTGTCGTTAGGGACTACATATTCACCTCGAGCTCCCTTATTCATGTACATTTGTTTCCTGGACCCTTTACAGCCTTCTACAACGGTTTTTCTACTTCATTAATCTTCTTCAAAATATCCCCCACTTGCCGACATGGCGATTTCCCAAAGAAAATTCTACGGCTTTCGGGTGTCGATTATGTTGAGTCATCCTGAATTATCGCTGTATCAAAAACAATCCATAATGATGATAAAAACGGCAGTAAAAGTCACTAGTCCAGAATAAATAGGGAAAAAACGAATTTTTGAAAATTTCGATTTTGAAGGATTTCAATTTGCCGCGCGCTCCTGCGCCGCTAAATTCACGCAGCTCGCGGCCCAATAAGAATCGAGGATCGTCGACCCCATGATTTCGATATATTACGATACAAAGAATTGCTTTGCGTATTGATCTGATTGTTTAAGACAAAACGGAGATATAATTTCCAGGAAATCCCCGGCCTCTCGGATCATAATAGAAAAATGCTCGGTGGTCTCTTCAGGAACAAAGAAAATGTAATTATCCGGATCCACTTCGACTGCGGTTCTCGGTTCAACGACTGCCGATCGAGTTTCGACGTCTCGCAAGGGGGAGGAGAATGACAAAGAGTTCCATTAGGGGAAGAAGGAAGGAATTACTTTTTTTTTTCTCCGCCAAAACAGTTTCCGTGAAATCTCCTCTGGTGTGACATCCACTCATACTCCCATCTCCTGTCCCTAATCAAACTTCCACGGTGTTAATCCCAGGTTTCTTCCTCCCAGGATAACCTCACCCCAATGATCTTTGCTCGAATCATTTATCTTCATCCCATGGCCAATCCTGTTTCTTCATCGAAACGAGCAATTTGCAGTCCAAATACCGAGGAAATCGCTTCCTTATGGGGTTTCCGAGACTAATGTTGACAGAAAAAATACTCAAGGCTAAAAAGATTCACTTGTATTACTACGCCATAAGTACATAATCAATTATAATTAATAATAATTATGGATAATCACTATTATGTATTTTCTCCGACACTCAAAAAAAATTAGGAGCGTAGTGGTAAATTACAAAAACTCTCTTTTCACTAAAAAATATAATATCTCTGAATTGAAAAGAAATACCGACATTTTCGCAGATACATTTTTCAGAGGAAAAAACGAGAGCTACAAAAAAGGTATCAATAAAAAAATCACCAGCATGCTTCAGTTCCAAGATATTCCCTAAAATCTGGTCACGAAAAAAAAATGGAGAAATGGTAGTCTCCAAATTTCTAAAGGTTGACTAATCATTTGACAAATGTCTCGTCTCCGTGGCAGTGAATCGGGGGAATAAATGATAAAAAATATATTCTGCAGTGAAGACTAACCACCAGTGGTAAAAGAACAACAAAAGCGAGTAAAAAACGTGTGTTCGTGTCACGACATATCGATTTGAGATCGGTTGATTGTCGTTTCCTCAGAGGGCAGACACAGCATGAGTCTATGGGTCTACCCTGATATTCTGGTGGGAGAGAATTTATCCAGACAATAGAGACCGTTAGATGTGGGCTAGGACATAGGCGCAAGCAGGATATTCCTGGTCCCTCAGGAATGATCGCCAAGGATCCGGCTCTCGTTCCCATTTACCTGGGGGCCCCCGTGGTTGAAAGGTATGGTGAATAAAAGAGGGACTGAGTTGGCGATGGAAACTGGTTTTCTGCTCGGGAAGAAACGGAAAAGAATGCAACTCGGTGAGACTCGGGTGTTTCCCCACTACAAATTTGCCGTCCACTTCCACCTGGATTTTGCCCTTCCACTCCCACTAACTCGGCAAAATATCCACTAGTTCGCTACGAGAAAATTCTAGACCCAATGGTTTTACCTATCTCGTAGATTACTATCTCTCTCCTTTTTTTCTCAACTACGGAGCAAATATTTACCTTCGATTTACCGGAGCATCCGCACACCTTTACATCGGGTCATGCTACACTCAAGATTATATTCCCCATTTAAATTCGATAATTTTCAATCGATCTCCATTATTTCATTTTGTTCATTATTTTCAACAATTTTTTTTGCAATTTCTCCAGAGAAATTGAATAATTGAAAAATTAAAGAATTAAAAAATTCTGAAGTTTTAGTTTTGTTTTTGTGGACGAGAGCACAGGTCAAATTGATTGCCATTGATTTTTATTTCGAGGGGGTAATTGTGTAATTAGTTTTTCTTATCGTTTTCCTAATTATTCTGGCGTTCGCTGGGTGGTAGTATATTGGGATGGAATAAAGCGAAATTAATCGAGAAACCGGTGGGTTCTTGTGTGGCTCATCCCCTGGATGTTAAAAGAGCAGTTGGCCCGCAAGAAATAACCGACTGTGAAAAAACAGCAATCTCACGATCATGATATATGATCCCTCCTGGAGTCGTCTGCGTTTTTCCGATTCTCCCTAGACGCACCTGGACCGCATACCCAGCCCTGAGGAAACATTCGGCTCGTAAACCTCGTGAGGATGGGTGTATCAGTTGGATTATTCACCATATCCGATCTATAGCTGTTATCGAATCCCGTTGAGACCCGCAAAATACACAATCACAGAAATAGAATAGCATAAACACAACCTCTCGGGCAGAAATTTCATTTCACATCGGAAATTACCATCAGTTCTCAATTTCTCATCAATACTCATATTCTTTGACACTTCTTGATCTTCGGTCTGGCCATTTTACTTGAATTTTCATTAATTTTATTTTTGTTTTTTCATTTTAATAATTTGCTGTTTCAGAACAAGATTAGTGAACTCGTTATTTCATTGCTAATATTTCATAAATAAATAAAAATAGCAATATTTTCGGGTCTACATTTTTTATAGAGAAAAATGAGAGCTGCAATAATGATATTAGTAAAAATATTCGTATCTCTGTTCAATTCTAAAGTATTTATGAAAAACAGAGAAATTTGGATGTCGCCCCCGATTTTCTTCAAAAAATAACCGAATCCCCCAGAAGACTCCGAAATTTGGTATGAACTTGAATGAAACTCTGGGAATATTGAAAATGCAAACTGATGAGTTACTAAAATTGTAAAAAAATTGAAGGACTGCAAGGATTGAGGATGAGGTTGAGACGGTATAAAAAAATGAAAGATTCCCGAGCCGACAGACCGGCTCTGGAGCTTTGTTCATGACCAGAGGGGGATGTCGAGGGCATATACCGAGGGTACATAGCCGGTATATACCTGGTGCAGTATCTGTGTGGGTTTATATGCCGCTTGGGGGCTCAATGGAATGTATGGGTGCAATGGTGCGGGAGAGACTCTGTGGCAGGTCGAGGAGTCAGCGGTGTGCGAGATACATCGCCCTCGGAAACAACTAAAAAAATCCAAAACAAAAAAAGAATCCCATAAAAATATAAAACAAAAACCATAAACAGAGTAAAACAACAATGGAAAACAAAGAGAGGAATATGAATTGCTGAGGAATATGAACGTGTGGGAGAGGCGGACGTCCCCTGGAAAAGAGGAAATTGTCGGTGTGTGATGTGGAATAAAATGAAATTTTTTTCTTCTTCAAAAGTAACAGAACAAAACGTGAAAATGACTGGGGTTAACGCGGAATAAAGGAAGAAGCACATGGAGACTGTTTGTGCTGATAGAGGGGGTGGGGGTGGGGGGCAATAGGGGGATAAAAAATAAAAATGGAGAGAGCAGACGGAGGAGAGTGGGTGCTGAGCCAGAAAACGAAGAAGAAGGAAGTCGTGGCCACAGCCCCGGACGTGTGAGACTCTTCCACGAAGTGGATATACCTGGCCTCGGGTTCATTCTCTCTTTTTTTTTTTTCGTTTTTATTTTTTTGCTTTATGCCTGGCGGAATCCGCTGACGATATTGTGGACTCGACTTTCAGTTATTACGAGGAATCTTCGGGGTTTCTTATCCTGCCTTCAAATTGAAATCCTGCTGAGGGGCATTCAATCAGATTTACTGGAATATATCGGGAAATTCTTTTTTTCTGGTGAAATTCAAATTTTTGGCGGAATTTTCTGCATCAGCTGGATTTTTTTGATGAAAAAAATTCTTTTTGAATTAATGGAAAAATCAATCAAATCAATATATAATAGTGTACATGGATTGATGTGTTATTAGATTTATTATTTATGTTTTGTTTTTGGGTTTTTGGAAATTGTAGAAGTGAATAAATTATAATGCACGCAATTACCAGAAAATTTTAAGAAAAACAATTATTCAAAAATTTAATTATTGACTGATTCGCTGATAATTGACTTGAAAATTTGGGAATTCTAATGGAATCCCCGGTTAAGTGTCAGTGGAAATGGTAAAGTGTTAATTAACCTATAATTCGTTGAATTTTTTTATGATTGCGGTGAGTTGTGCACTAGATATACTTTCACGTTGTGGGAAATTTATGAGGAATAAAAGAGAATCATTGGGCAGATGAGGTTAATGGTGTCATTTGAATTGTAATGATATGTGGCCTTTTAAAACATGACGTGTTTGTTTATTTGAACAGGTCGTGGATAATTCTCCCTCGGTTTTTTGATGGCCCGGTGGATATTTTTTTTCGTTTCTCTCTTTACCAATGGAAGAGTTCGTCGGGTGATTCATGCTATCGAAGGCGGTAATTGTGCCCTGGGATTAATGTGTGTCAATTCCAGATCAATTCAGAATCTCAATTCAAAGTGTGCGAAAACTCCACAAAAAAATGACAAACTGCTCATAAAATTTCGAAAAATCTAGTCCGTTCCAAAAATATTTGAATCAGTATTTTTAATTTATTATGACTTATTCCTAATTTTTATTATTTATTTTGACTTTACGACAATCCTCATTCGATCGAGATTCATTTAAATTTAAATTGTTGATTGTGTCCATTTTTTAATAAAACATTATATTGTATTCATCTTCGAATTTTGAGCTGTTGGGACGAAACGAAATAAAATTCTCTTCCGTAATTAAGAGAAGAGGGGAGCCATAAATTTCTCGTGGCGTTTCTCTAAACCGCAAATATATTAAACGCAATGACGATTAATGCCTGAGGTCAACATCTAGGGGGTTATTGCTAAATTGCTTTGAGGTTGACTTCTCGAGGTTGAATCGAGAATTTTTGAGTCGTTTGAAGAGGAGATAGAGAATTGGAAGCAACCAGTGGTTGGTCGAGGTCACTCGGTGCATCGGCAGCCGAGGCCACACCGACATTCGTACATGAATTGAAACCCCTAGAAATAGGGGAAAATTCACTGAAGGATACGGTGTAAGCTCCCGCCCACACTTTCTCAAATTTCACTTTCTCAATTTCTTGGATTTTCCACTTCCTGTGGCACATGCCACATAAATTCCCAATATTTCCAAACTTATTGGTAAATACGAAACGCTTTTTTTCTCTTCGTATATATTTAGAGTAGGATGAATAGTTCAAGTGAAATTACAATGGCCGATGGTTATATACTAGAGCGTGGGCAATTTAAAATTAGCACAACTTCCGTAACAGCTACTTTCTCACTCCTCCGGATCGAGAGTATTGAATTGTACGCCGGAAGGACCCGAAGGCAATCGTTTGACTTATGCAACTTGCCGGAAGTGCAAGTATTTTCAGAATTGTATGTGATTTTAATGACCGGGGGCTGACATATTGTCTGATCGATTATGAAATGTCATCGATTTATCCACAGCCCGTAGCTATCAATTTTGAGTCGCTACCATTTTTTTTTTCAACGGTTAATAGATCGGTTTGATCGTCGGAGGGGGAGAATATGAAAGGAGGGCAGTTCACCTTCACTCGTGATTATGGAATCGTGAAATCTCGGGTTATCGGATTTATCAGAGATCGTTGAATAATTCTCGTCAGGAATCAATCGCCAATGCCTCGGGATTTGTTCCGCTGGAAATCTCAAGGCTTCCACGGTAAGACACTAGTGTCTTAATTATTTTTTGATTTGTTTTGTTTTGATCACTCTCAAGGTTTAAATATTTCCCAAGAGCCACAAGAGTTGGTGGGAATTTATCGGTATCAATTGAGTATTCTTCATCACAATTGCCTTTTTCGGCGAATGTCAGGGAGAATCGACTTTAGGAAAATTGTGGGTTACAACTGGTAATCAGGGAGAGCATGACACCGCAATTTCACTTTTTCCCCCGGCATTGTCAAGGACGCGGATAAATCAACGAAAATGTTAATCATTTTTATTGAATTCAAGAACATGGAAATTATACGACATAAATTATCACCGGATAATGCGTAATTAATGGCCGATGAGGGGTATAATTTCCCCTGCAAATGTCCGCTCTCACAGTTTTCCAATAAAACGCATTGACTAATTGATATCACACGGATGCGCGGTGTAAATCACACGGGGATAGTCAATCGACATATTCCCGGGGAATATTTTATTTTAAATCCATTGAGGGTATGTATCAGCCATATCCAATCGCTCCATGCATCGCTGCGTGTTACATTCCTGGGGTTTTTCCTTTTTTCGTGAATTGCAAATTGCTGGGCATTCCAGGGGCCTAATTAATTATGGTATTCGCAAATTAGTTTAATATGAGATTTTATAATCCATTTTCTATACTAATAACGCGGAAATAATTCCTGAAATTAACGTCAACGCGATTGGTCAACTAGAAAAATTGGAAATTAATAAGTAATCATGAATAATTATGCGAAGAGTTTTCTTCGAGGATTATCTCTGAATCTTAGAGAGATAGTGAAATTTTCGTTGAAACATCTTTCGGAGTTCTCGTTTCATTCTAGAAAAAAGTTTTCAATGAAAATTTTGCCATCAAATCGGATGATGGAGGAAAACGGGAAAAAGGAATCCGAATATCTGTTTAACTAAATAGAAGACATGACAGGCAAAACGGCGTGATAGATCGCCGGATTATCGTGCTATTCATCAAGCGTGAAAGAATTGGATTTTCCGCATGGAAATTGACGCACGATTTCCAAAAAAAATCTCGTATCTGTCCTAAATTCTCTGATGTACTGGAGGGGAGGGATTTTCGCAGCGATTTTCACCGAGCCCTTCATTATCTCGCGGTGGGTTGATGGATGGACCCATCTCCCATGAAATTCTCAATAAAGGATCAGCGACAAAAGTTTTTTTTTCCTGGAAATCTCGGGGGTTGGAGTCAATGTCACACCCTCTCTTAAAATTCCCCCATCACGCAGTTCAACCCTGGAGCAGATCAAATCTGACACGTACTGTCGGCTCAGATATTGGGGAATTAGTACTCCGGGCACGTCTGCGGGGATTATTTATTCCGAGTTTATTTGATTATCGATGATGTATCGTCAGGGAGGTTTGAACAATTCCGTGTTGATTGCAGGGACTTACAGAATTTCGGGGTACCGAAGTGCCGGAGGGAAATCGATATTTAAATTTCAAAGATTTCCCGCCACTTCACGATGCGCACAGTGCGGGCGCGCACACTTCCGTTGCATTTTTCGTAACGCAATGTCTAGGAGGGATTGATCTTTCATTCAGAAGTTAAATGCTGTTAAATTTACCATTAAATCGAGGGAAATGGCTCGGTTGTAGCTCAGTTCATATATTTCCCTCGAGACATGTCTAGTGTCATTAATAGATCGTCGAACGGCACTCGTCACTATTTCCATCGATCGATTTAACATCTCATTGCACCCCTCTCATCCCAATTTCTGCCCCCCACCCTTGAGTGTCGGTGCACGGATCATTTGAGCTGGGTTTACATGAGAATAGTTAATGCATACCAGGAAAAAGTTCCAGCGCCTCCGTTCAAGAATCGCACGAATGCCCACTTTTATATCTCTCCAACGCGATAAAACGCTCGAGTTGAGTTGCAGAATTTAAACAAGACACTCCAACTTTCCGCCGAATGCTCATGCATACGATTTCAATACAATAACAATCACATTTAAAAAAAAATACGAAAAATCACACTCACAATTCGCTCTCCCTTGTGTTACAGCATTTTCAATTCCACGCGAATAATTTTACGAAATATTCTGGTAATAAAATGCAGACACCACTAATTTGTTATAACGGGAAAAAAAGTAATTAAACCCTCAAACTCGGTTACCCGTACATATTTGGATTTCATTCATCCGCGCAAACATTTTCCGCAATTTCTCACATCACGTTCGTTGTTTTCATTTAATTTTTGCCCGATTCCATTTCAATACTTGATCCAGCCAATACTAACGCAAAATCGCTTTTGCGCACGTAATATTTATGCACACGTAGACAACAAGACTCGGTTTTTACCAACACAGTCGTCACGTAGATATCGCGCTGGGCGACCGCTCAAACTCGTTTTTCTCCCCTTCCACGTGTTTTTTTTTTCATTTTTTTTTTCACTGAGTCTGAGTTGCGCTTCGACCGAGAGTGAGAGTAATCTCGCTACTTTCGTTTGAATTCTCGTTCACTCGCGAGAGTGATGTCATAAATATTACCCGGGCGCCGTGACCTGAAATAATCCGAGTCGGCGAAAGGCCCACGAGGTATGCCTTTGAGAATGAATTTTCCGGGGGGAATTGTCAATTCATATATGACTGCTTCATTCTTATTTTATCGATTCCGTGAACCCGCGAACCCGCGAACCCGCGAACCCGCGAACCCGCGAACCCGCGGAATTTTACCGCACGAGAATTTCCATTAATCTCTGATTTCTCACCACAAAAAAAATGATTAAACATTTTTTTCAATACTTAAGATAATTCCAGATAATTCTGCATAATTAATCATTAATTTCTCCAGGATGTTGATTTCTTCATTAATTGTTTTCTTTATCTTTCATGGTATCAGCGAATGATCAAACTATTGAAAAACGGGAATTTTGGTGATATTTCCACAGACAATTAAATTATGAAGACACGACGAGTTAATTGTTAATTGATAAGTTTATAGAATTTATGGGATTAAATCATAAATGGAGGTGAAAAAATTGATTATCTTTAATTTTAGAAGGATGAGTTGAGAAGGAAGAGATTCATTTCAATTGCGTCGTAATATCGGATATACAAGGCGAGTTGGTCATGTCTATTATCATAATAGCGCGTCGAGACACCGAATATGGTGGAATAAATTAATAGGTATTCAAACGCCAAGTGGGTAAAAAAGAGAGACAGCTGGAAGTAGAAAGTGAGATTATAAGCGGTTGCGTCAGTCATGATTTCCTGCTCCTCGATGACCGGAGGAATTTACACATTATTCTGGGGTACATCATGTAATCGAGAACAAAGTAATAATCGAGACTCTTCGGATGATTAATAATGCGATACCTTAAATTGTTGAGGTCATCACCATTGACATTTTATATATTCTATATGAATTGTAAAAAATGATATCTACCTGGAATTTATATTTTACACACACAAAAAAAAATAAATATTAATATCAACAAGTAATACTAGAATATTGAAGTTAATATCAATTAATTATTAAAGCCAAATAGGAAATTTGGGAAATTGATAAGTGGAAATTAAAACATTTAATAATTGCCAGTGAAATTTTCATTTTTCGAGTGACTTTAAGTTGTTTTAATTTAAAAAAAAAGGAAAATAAACAGTTTTTCTGTGGGAGTGGAAATCCTGCCCTCAGACACTTTATTATTCCATTTAAAATTCATCTCGTGACCCATTTTGCTATCCAGGTTTACCAAAGCGCTTGATAATTTGCCTCAACAGTTGAAGTACTTACCAGTAATATCATATCTAGTAACTTCTGATGCCGAAGGAAACGAGATGTCGTTAGAGGAACCATTAGAAGCTTTTTCGATGCTCGAATAAATACTGCGATACCGCATTATCCTGGATCGACCCCTTCCCCAGGAACTATCAGCTTCTTGTCTTTTACTTTTTCTCAATTGAGAAGTGGAAAAATGTTGGAGCACACCACTCAGCAATTACAAAACTTTTTCACTCGACAATTCTCTACTGCTTCCAGAGCTAATGGCTGAACTACAAATGACACCAACTCAGACTTTTCCAATTCCTCTTAATATCCACTCGCTGATAAATAAAATAAATAAACCCGTCTATTAATTAAAAAATCGTTGGAATGGACAGTGGTTTTTTTTTTTAATTGGGGAGATTGACAAATCAGAGCGTTTTCGGGGATTAATTTTCCACTGATCTGGCTCTCAGGCCATATGTGGAATATGGCGTCAGTCTCTCACGTCTTCCCCTTTTTTCAAAGCTTTTTTTTCATTTATTTTTAATTTTTTTTTCCTGTCTTAACATCCCACGACGATGATGCAGCGGTGTCGCGCCATTATTTTTTGAAGCAAAGACCATCGGGAGAATTTCATTACTTCAGCATGCGCGCAACTGCAGTCAGTGACGCACTACAACTTTTTTTCTCAGAGGAGGGGTGACATCGAAACAAAACTTAGAAACTGGGGAATATCTGTGGATCATCCTAGAAGTGACAGTAATTTTATTTCTCCGTTTACATAATATATTTTTACATATTATTTTTATAGGAGACGCGTTACCTCAAAATCTATCGATTGAAGCCAAAAATGATAAAGGACTTTTATTTACCTCATCAAATTCCCCATAGAAAAGCTCTTTTCATATTTCCTTTTAAAACGAATAGTTTTTCATTTATCAATGTTGAATAAAACGAATCCTAGAAAAATGACAATCCATCCGAAATTTTTTGATTGACAAGATTTTATAGCGGAATTTATGGTTTCTGGGTGAAAGAATTGAATAAAAATATGAATAATAATAATAATCATACAAATAATTATGTATAAACGTAAAGAATTATTTCCTGCAAATTTCTCTCTTAAAAATCCATAATGAAGAGATAAATCAAGACGAAATGAGGTCCCAAAATCAGATGAGATCCCGTAATTAATCATGACCCCCATCCCTGAGTGACGTCATACAGCTTGAAGATAAAAAGTTGAAGAAACGGTGAAAAAAATGGAAAATATCAGCGATTTTCTCATCACTCAATTACGAAGGAAGAGCCACGAGACATTCCACTGGCGTTATTAATCCCCATTACCACCTGCGATCCTCATTATTCACTCCCCCGACAATTTTTCTCATTTATTCTTATTTCCACAATTCTCGTTTTTTATCCTGATAAAATCTCATTACCCAACAAACGAGTTCGTATTCTTGAGGAGAGCGAGCGTAAAAGTGGCTGTCTCTGTGCCCCCTATTGCCTCTTTTCTCTCATTCTTTTCCCCTCACCCCTTCCATTCACCCCCTGGAGGCCATTTCCACCATCCGGGCATCACTGGAGAAATCCATTTTCTCCAGCTAGTGAGAAAGTAACCCCGGAAAATCGTACAGCCGCGAACGTATGTTGCGTCGATCTCAACTCATAACTCTCCACCCATACGGAAGTCAATTACATGCCCGGTAAAAAAATATATAATATACTATGTATATCGATATTATAATAATAGAATAAACTACAAGGATACTAATGGTATTTTAATGAATTAATATTGAATTCAGACAGAGGAATGGAATTGGAATTGGAGCTCCGCGACGAGTGGCATTGAATCGTCTGATATGGAAAATCGATTGATTAAAAGACTATCGGTTTTAGCGGAAATTATCAAAAGTCCTTTTTTGTCGGGAATTTCATCAGCTATAAAGAAAGTCTTTTAGGTTTTTCGCCTGAGATCCACTCCTGTCGAGATCATTGAGAAAAATTGAAAAGTCAGAATCTGTTTTTCTTTTTTTTATACGTTAATTAGTTAATACTGAATTTAATAACAGAAACGAATTAGCTGTAAATTAAATGATGGATTGTAGAGAAATGGTTGGATAATGAACCGTAGTTTGTAGAAATTAAATACACTTATTGATTTGATACGATAAAATAATGATTGTAGGCGAGAAATGGATGAAAATCAATTAAATTCGTAGTAGCAATTTGATGTGATGATTAATACCGTCGAAATCATGATGAATTTGTGGACTATTCTCTGCTAATTGACGTATTATTAAATTTGAGAAATTAATAGCTGATCGATGACTATTTTTCGTTGCTCTGTGTGGGAAGCAGTTAATTCGGGTCACGATGTGGAAATAAATAATAAAAAAAATTCAGCAATTTTGCCATTGGCCGAACTCTGCCCTCGACTTGCATACGTTGCTTCGATTAACCGGGAGAATAAATATCCCCATAAATTGCAAATGGTCTTCAATAAATAAACGGCCTTTCTTCGCGTATTTATACACTGGGTAATGTTCGGGCGTTGGTATGTACCGAGGACAAATGCTTGACCCCGATTGGCCCCGAAAATAAAAGTTTGTAGAAATTACGCACGTGAAAACCCGGCGTACATTGTGTACGAACCCCAGCCTCACAAAGATGGTTTATTTACGACAATGAGATTTTTTTTATTGTCTCATTGCAAACGAGAGTTTTAATTCGGCTTTTTTTTATTACTTACGACCAATTCGGGGATAATAAATTTTCACTAGCGATCCTTTTCGCTTTTTCAAAGGGACTCGATGAAATATTATTGACCGAGTTACAATTTTTGATTCAATGTTTTCGGGTGGTCTCGTAAAAACATAAAAAAGTCCTTCCCGTTCATTTTTAGCAACGACTTTATAAATCTCGAATTCTGACATTTTTTGGATTATTATTTCAATCAGAAAGTGTTGTAATGAAATTTTTTTACTGACACTTCATGCCATTTTCAACCTACAATTATGGATTGTTGAATTATTATTGTTCGTCTAATATTGGTGATTCTTTTGGTGATCGCAATTAATTCAGTTTTGAATTGGAATTGAGAGTAAAATTTGCAATTGAAATAAAAAAATGTATTCATAGTGTTTTTGAGATTTTTTATCTCGAAAGGAATACACGAGAAAATGAGGTCGAGGGGGCACTTCTGAAATATAGGGCCCCACGTTTTCACCACGAGACTTGCATAAATGCCTACGTGATAGATATATAACCCGTAGTTTTCTCTCACTTCCACCGGTCCACCATTTTTTTCACTCATTTTTGTATTTTTTTATTCAGTGGAGTAAAAAGTCCTCGATTATTCTTCCCTCTGACACTCGCCTCTTTCACCTCGTGTGGGCGAGAGATTGAGGTGAGAAATAAAAAGAGGGTTTAAGGAGGACAAAGGGGGACACTGTATTTTATTATTCCTCCGAGGAAGACTTCAACTTTTGTTAAATAATCACAGAAATTCCTGGAACGACTGAACAGAGAAAATTCACTTTTCGTGGGGGAAATTTTTTATTAAAACCAAAATTCCCGGGGAATTCTCTAGAAAATATGGAAAATGTTTAAATGAATTACAAAATTCCTTAAATAAATATATTTCACGTATGGATGAAAACCTGATAATTGAGAATGACTAGAATTGAAATTTCAAGTGTAATTTTCGAACCGTGTAAATTCTCAAACGGTCATAAACCAAAAAATGTATAAATCCCCATAAACGGAGAATTTCCCCAAACAAATAGTGAGCCCGAGCGGAAAATTCCGGGGAATTCCAGTGGTGGTCGGGGCCCTCCGGCTGGTCAAAGCCGACAAGACCGATTGCCCAACATCGGGCGTGTGCCGTGGCAAAACAGCTGACTCGTGTTTCCTCGGCAGCTGGCCCCAGGGCCCCTCGGCATTCCTCGTCCGGTCCCAAGTGCACATGCGCCCCCATACCTGAGGGCCTGGTGTACAGCCCGAAAAAAAAGCAAAAAATCCCCCGAGAAAACCTCAAAAATTGGGGTACACTATCCGAATAATTTATCCCCTCGCATTAATTATTTTCCGATTTTTCTCGAATGTCGGGGCAACGGTTACGTTTACTTTTCACGTGGGAAAATCAACGACTGTTCACTTCCGGTGCGGTAACGATCCTTGGGAATTACCTGCATTATTTTTTCACTCACCTCTGGGCTTTTCATAATTCCTTTCGCCGCTCGTTGAATAGTCAATTGGCTATTTTCATTGAATCGAGTGTATTTTATTTTTTAATCTGTTATTTCTGGGTGAAAATTGTGGATTATTTTCCAAGTGAATTTAATACCGCCACCGAGAGAAATTGGTTATCGGTTTTAAATCAGTATTTATGGGCCTCTAGGCTCGCACAGCCAGTTACGATATATTATCATTTTCTCGTGGTACAATTTGTATCTATATAAAGTAGAGGAGTAACAACAGACTCTCAGGGACTCGTTCCAATTTTCCTTCATACCCCCGGGGTGGGTGTGTTACTCCGACTTTTCCACTAGTCAAGGGAACAAATTGATTCCCTTGAAAACCATCATCTATTTTCTTCCTTCCTGTTACAATCCCATCTCCAGAAATTTTCCTGCTAAAACCCTCAGAAATTTTCAGACAACCGACATGTTCACTGAATTTTCACCCTATTTTTCCACAGCCACTCAAAACAAAAAATCCTATCCACTGCGAAATTCCAATTCTCATCCTGAATTAACAAATAATTTTCCAAGAATTAAACAGAGTTAATTGCTATTAACATAAAACCACACAAATGAATATAATAAAAAAAATTTATTATGGAACTACTGATGAAAAAAATTCGCTAATGATTGTCGGTTGATGCGCCTACGGTTTCAATAATAATAACGATAAAAAATAACATGAATGTCGTAAAATAAAAATGAAAAGGGTTAAAGAATAGGAAGTTGCGAGGAATATTCAATTACCAGGGTAAAGTGAATATGAATTGTTGAGCAATTCGGTTGAGAGTCCCTGAACTGTATCCGCTGAGAGCGGAACATGTCGGAAAATTTGCAGCGGTTTGAATACATAAAGTCCCTGAGGCAGGTGCCCCAGTCCCTCAAAGTCCCTCACATCCACATTATTCCGTAATAAATATGTTTTCTCCGCATTTGTTCTAGACCCGAGGGGCAAAAAACAGCGAAACGCCTATGAAAAATTGAAATCAAATTGAATTTCTTCTATTTGATCTGAATAAAACCCGAGGATAAATGTTAATTCGCAAATACACCATTCTCAGAATCTCTTCGGCACTCGTTAATGGCACGTACGCGACTGCAAACACATTTTCATAGCGTGTACTGCTAAATTCATACGCAGGAGTGAAGGCTGTATCAAACGTGTGACTTGAATGTCCGCTCTTCAACGTATAATGCATTATATGTGTCGCAAATATTGATATATTCGAGGAAATGTGGAACATTGAAATGGAATCATAAAAATGCAAATATATCTGACGTATACAGGGTAAGTTCGATTTTTTAAAATAACTACAACTCTAGAAATAAAAATTCATTTTTCAAATCATGAAATCATATTCTTCATTATCACATTTACATATGTTAATTAATAATAAATAAATTTAAAGAATTGAATGTATACATGAAATATTTTTTAGAATCGTGTAATGAGTAATTTGAGGTGTTGAATTTTGTAGAAATTGATTGACCTCGCGGTGAATTAATCTGTAAAAGTGAACTTAATGTGAAATTCCCATGGATTTCCGATAATTACGCCCTGAAAATTTCCCTCCATTTTTATTCGATCCACCCTGAAAACCATGAACACCATGTAGCACTTGGCTGAGTGGCATCCCATGCTGCACCACTAAAATAGATAAAACCCGGTAGTTCGGGTAAAAACTCCCCCGAAGGAATGAAAGTAGACAGATTCAATGGGTTGGACATAGCTCTCGAGTTTTTCCCAAAAAAAAGTGCTTAGAGGGCATTACCAAGCAATCGTATTACCCGCTAGTCAGTTCCTGGTTTGTATCTCCTCCGAGGGGTCTGAAAAAATAAACTCCAAGTGATTCTCCCGAGGCCAGAGTAAATAATCTACTCGGGGAAAAAATGTCTCATCGTTGACATCCGGTTTCCTCTCACCAACTCCTCGCTGATATTTCTTACCATTTTACTCAGCTGTCGTTATCTATTTCGACTGTGCGAGGATCAGCTCGAAGTGAGATGCGAAATAAATTGAAAAAGTTGAGGTGATATTCGCCATTTTCAAAGAAACCTCAATCGAGTCAGGGGGAAAAATTGTGGTCAGACCAACCGAAAAGTGATTTATACCTCCCATGTGATAAATATCGAGATCTTTTTATTTACACCACTTCACCGGTGAATTTACGGGTTTTTCTCGAAGCCCTCGGGGAGTTACGACCGGATTATAAAAAAAAATCAATGTTTGTTTTGAGTGTTTGAAATTTCACAAATAAATACTTAATCCACATTTTTACGGCTGACGTTCTACAATTGTTGCCGTTTCTCGTTCAGTTTCCGGCTATAATTGTTCAGAATTTCTCAAATGCTCAAGAACTCCAAAATGCAAAATGCAAAATCCACGTGACATATTCACAATTCTTAATGGACAACTCAATTAATTAATGATTAACTAATAATTAGTCAATTCAGTTAATTATAATTTTTCTCAATCCCACATAAATTGTCACTGCATAAATAATATCCAAGAATGTTTTCCAAAAGCCAACAAAATGGTAGAAAAAAAAGCATTGATTTCTGAACAATAACGTGGAGTTTCGGATAGATTAATAAAGAAATGCATTTGAATACCTTCATAAGAAAAAAACTCCGCAGGAATCCAAGTACTTGAGACTCTCAGACGGTCCATTCGAGTGGCTGCGGGTCCCCATTCAAAAAAGGTCTGTTTCTTTATTATCCCAAAGCCCCGTCGGCGGGCCAAGACTTTATATTTTGCTCGTTGCACTCCCAAGAGAGACACTACTGGTTGTATATTTTTTTTTTAGAAACAACTGGCACAACGTTAGCTTCTCGTTGCTCCAACACCGAGAACTCTTCGAGTTTTACCCTTCTCCAAACAGCCCAGTATTTTTTCTCCCCCATTCTCTTTTTACCCCAACTTTTTTCACGACGAAAACTGATGAAGGGATCCTTCAAGAGAGCTTGTTTACGATTTTTTCCGTCGGGTTTAATTAAACAAATATCTCCCTCCCGTTCGTGTAATCCCTCCTGAATTTTTCCCTCATTTTTTTTCACCAACTTTTTTTCTTCGTTTTTTTGTTTCTTATCATACCGTTTCTTGTAGAGTTTTCGTATGTACTGAGCTCGTTATGTACCTGGGTAAGACGCTTTCTCAGCACGTGAAAGTCGAATGAAAGGAGGAGAATAGAGGAAGCACTGGGTGAGAATCTTCAAGGGGTTGTGAGAAAAAATGAGGGAGACACTGGGAAAAAAATGTTTTTCCTCTTTCTTTCGCATGGCACTCCTGAAAATTCTCAGCTCAAGTCAGGCCGACAATGTTTTTTTCTTCCCATTTTTTTTTTATTTCGTCTTTTCAATTTTCTTGTGCCATCGTTGGCCGTCGGTTTTTTTTTTCATTCTTTTTTTTTACTTGACGCGCGCTTTTTTCGTCTTGTCGTCACTTACAACCCCTTTACAACCCCTTTCCAACCCCTTGCCAGGGTGAGTCGTTACCCTTTGCACGATGAAGTTGAGATTGGGGGAAGTTTCTTCGAATCTCAACTCCGTGAGAAAATTTTTAGGGGCTTATTAGTGCAGTATATTCGAAAGAATCCAATTATTACGTCTTGAATCGATAAATATTTTTGAAAAATGGGGGATCTGAGCGGATTTAAGGCGAAAAGTCTTTGGAAAATTTCCAAGCCTCAATTTTCTGGGTCATGAAAAAAAAATGATAGCGTTGTTATTTCGATGAGGAAGAGGAAATGAGAAAACTGTCTTGAGCACAATTTTCGTGGTTGGAGATATCCCGTTGATTCGTTCGAAATCGACTGGAGGTCGTCCCCGTCGTCTCCATACCCTGGACAATATCCGGAAATATGTGACAGTGAACAACGAGCCGATGGGTAATAAAGGAATCCGAGAAAGGGACAACAAACGGTTACTTCCTGATGTCTCCTTACGCTCGGAAACTCCGCAAGAAAATATTGTATATATAACTGCCTTGATACCATGACGACCGCCAGGGCGAGAGGGCCGTGGACTTCCCTCCGAAATTTATACCATCCCTCGAGCAATGACCCATGAGGAATATACTGGGAGATGTACTGTGGCTTATTTTTTTTCACCCTCCCAATCGATTTTCTCTCCCTAGGAATTTTCCGACGACCACTTTCCTTACGCACTACACTCACGCCCCCCAAAAAATAATCCCGAGTTCTCTGAATTAAAAAACAATTTCCATCATCGAAACATCGCAGAACACGCGGAAGTGGGGGTACGACGCACACCGGTGCGCGGTGCGCACTGCGCAACATCCGTTGCGTTTTTTCGTTGCACTGGAATTATCAGGATTCCCGAAATAACTGGAAAAATGGGGTGAAAAAAATTGGGTGAATTTCAATTCACCAAAATTTTCAGTGGCATCTCATTTTCTCCGGTACTGGGTGCTACATACATAACCGTAATTCCTACGTCCTTTGTATCTCACAGCCGTATCATTTTTAATTCAAAACACAATTCCACCGGTGCTGCAGACACCCGGGGTTGCGAAATTCTGAATGCTTCAAAGGCACTGCGGTACCCAACTTGTATATATAATACGAAGTCGAGCAAAAGCCATGTACACCCCAGGGGGACCAGTTGATTCGCTTTATTTTTCCAACGAGTGACGCCCGCAAAATGGCACCCACGTGGACACCTACATTTAGGCAATCGAGTTTTCTCCACTCGTTGTTACCAAATTCTGTGTATTCCACATGCAAATACCCTCCAGTCGTTTATTATCTTTCCCCCTCCTATCCTGATTTTAATATCGCGATGAGCGGAATTGGAACTAAAATATTTGCACAACCGCACGAAAAATAATTATCCACACTTACTGCTAAAATGTCAGAGTTTTCATTATCATTTCAAACAAATTGGTCTAATGAATTAAATCCGCCTCTATCGGTTTTGTTGATGAATTTATTTCGTACGACTTCAATTGTGATTATCGATTTTTATTGCGGTTATTCATTCACCCCCGGTATCCTGTGGTTTTCTCGAGAGGTGTAATCGCACTTTGTGTATAAAATATTAATAAAACTTCCCCATTCGTTTTTCTTTCCCCTTTTTTGGCGAAAGGAGTGACAGTCACGTTTCAGGCCAACGTGAGAGTCTGTTCTCGGAACTAGTTACGTGTTTCTGAAAACGATCCCTTCATCCCTTGAGTTACCCCATTCAATATTTCATTTGACAATTCAGTGAGTATTAAGCTAAATATCTGGAGACTGAATGCCAGTATTACATATTTGTACTATAATTTTTTTATTCCCTCGGTGCAATTGGAACAGAAATTAATTGTCGATTTTGTGTTGCAGAAATGCGAGAAACTGGTGGATAAAAACGAATGAGACGTTAATCACGGGGTGATGAGTTTTCTCGCGACGAAAAAAGAATTATTTTCTCGGGTGGAAACGAGGCGCCTCGTGGAAGTTCCAATTACGTTTGAAGGATCATCGGGGGAAATCAAGTTATTACATGATAAAAATCTTCAAGCCCCAACTATCCCCAACTGTACACATGTTTGTCTCGGTACATAATGAGGTGAGCCTCTAATATTTGAACAGAGTTAAACGGATTTTTCTCGAAATTTCCCGGAAAAATTCTTGTCGTATGTAAATTCAGTGGAAATTCAGATTTTGGGTCGTAAAAATTCAGAATTTTGAGGGAAAAGTGAATAGAACTGTCAATTTCTCCTTTATATTCCGTTGAAAATTAATGGAAAAGAACCAAAAAATTGGGGTGAAGACATTTTTTAATTGAGGACTCGGGAGATAATTATGAATTTTCCACGAAATTTTGAAGGCATCTTCATGGTAATTTCTACGAAATTTTCTTGCCGTACTTGGTGAGTGCAACTGTCACTTGGGGTTTATATGGGCTCAACTCCTCGAAAATGTCGCGATGAAAGGGGTCAAACTTTTTCCGGGAAGTGAGTGTGCACTGAGGTTTGGAGAAGTAATAAATGTCAATGGCTCAATTTTATCTGAATGAATAAAGTTTTTTTCCTTTTCCCTCAATGCAACTTAGAGAGCTCGTCCCATCTCTTCTTATTTGAAAGTTTATCGGAGGAGTTTTATTCAGAGGAATTATTTCTTACGATCACGATTTTTCCCCACTTTTATAAAAAAAAAGCTTTATCCCCCAAAAATGAATTTCTTTCTCTGCAGAATAGGAAAACTAATGGGAGTTTAAGTGGAATCTCGTGCTAGACTCTCCCCAGTGACATTTCAAAGTCAATCTCCATTTTTACCCATCGATATTCACGCCAATTCCATGATATCGAAGTCTAGGTACTCTTGAGACGAAGGAAAAATGATGTATGAACGATGCAGGCACCCTTCGACGTGAGTTTCCTTTATACCCGCATTCTTCCATTTTTTTTTATTCATCTTTTCCTTTTTCTGGTTCCAGGCTCTTCCTCTCTTCAAGGATTCGCACTCGGATTTATCCTCTCTTTCGTCACCGCCTCGAACTTTCCACCTCTTTCCATTCAAGAAATCACGTCCTACAGGCGACAAGAGGATTCGGTTATTATGGGACAATAAAACTTTGTTGCTTACCGACCGATATTATTACCGTTACAAATTTCCCAGACCTGTACTTACCTGGGAAAATGCTTTATGAGTCCATTTCCGGGGCTAAATCCTGCTCTTTTTCGGCAAGCAATTTGAGAATATTTATGGAGAGTTTACGGTTTGTAAATTGACTCCAAAAAATCCCTCGCTTTTTTTGCAGAATAAAGAATTACTCCGTGAAAGAAGAATAAAAGAGAAAAGTTCAGGTATTGCGTAATTCTGTAAAAGATTGCCTGGAAAATTATTCCACAGAAGCTAAATAAATTCACCAATTGTTCCCTTTCACTCTGAGTATTCGATTTTCTCTGAATCTGAGAGAGATGGCGAAATTTTTGTATAGACTTATTTTAGCGAGTGAAAAAAGAGCTACGAAAATGGTCTTATAAAAAATCTTGCAATTTCTGTAATTTTCCCCCTAAGTGGACATGAAACACTGAACATGATAAAACTGACCTGAAAAATGATTTGAGCCCGCAGAATGATTTTTCTAATTTTTCAAGGACTCAAGGGCACCCATGAGCTGGTAAATTCCACAGAATTGGAATTTTTTATTTTATTTTCAGGCATTGAATGGAATTTTGATTTTGACACGAGTGCTGGGGGTGCAGAGAGGTTTCCCCTCGTCTGGTCTTTCTCCTCCGCCTGAGTCCTCTCCCTCTCGGAATTGCCAGGGAGAGGGGAATTGCCCCATGATTTCCCCTACCTAAAGCCGACACTCCCACGAGGGACGCTGAACTTCTATTCCAGACATCAGTATATGCATGCAATGGAGTTTAGATTGGTTATTATATGTTCGATATAGTTTCACATTTCACCGGTGAATTTTTACTTTTTTTTACCGTTTTATTGTTGAAGTTAAATTGAATTACTGTTATATAGGTATCGCTCGAATTGGTATTGTCTGTAATAATAATAAATTGAAAGTTTTGGAATGGAGAATGGAATATCCTGGGGATATTCGTGCTTCCTGCGGTTGGGATTTTCCTTGAAATTACGGTTTCGGGGTTTGATGGAACAGATGGCAACTCTGGACGATCAAGGTCAATGGGATGACTGTTAAAATGATTGATCGCATTGAAAACCATCTAGTTTTTGATGTTAAATTTTTTTTTCTTGGTATTCTGAATTTTTGGATTTTGATTATTCAAGATTTACATTTTTCCAATTATTTTTTTTCAGGATATCTTATTGGCTAGACTATTAATTGAACATAAAATCAATAAGTGAATAATCACAATTACAAATAACACTTGCATAAATTGCTTCATTCCCTCAAAACATAAACCTACGAATTTATTCCTCAAATATTCAAAATATATCCATATATATTTTTTTCTCAAAATCAAAAATTCGTCTATATACATTTCAACACTTCACTATGTACTCCAGATATACGATAGTCGATACTGATCAATGGAAGACCTCGATTTAATTTAATTATCAAGAATATATTCGAACCCCCTCCCGAAAATCCCCTCCCGAAAAACCCCTCCTGAAAATCCCCTCCCCCCAAAAACACGATGAATCTGGCTATCACCATGTTGAATTCCCCACCCCACAGAACCCCATCAGCCCAGAGAGAAGGGGTGAAACGGTGAATTCACCCCGTGGCCACCAGCTGGCGCAGTGATGGCGGCACCCTCTACCCGGACGGTGGGAGTGAGACGAGGGTAGTCGCCGACACTGCGCCGAGAGAGAGCACCGAGAGAGAGCGCCAACCGACGCCAAACGTCTCGACGCCGGAATCGCGCGCACATTTCAGTTACCAACAGCCCGCGCGATCGTTCGCACCGAGCGTTACGTTTCCACAAGGAAAAAGGAACAAAAAAGAATAAAGAAAAGGAAGGAAAGAAAAGAGAGTGGAGACATCGTCTCCAGGACAAAATCCCTCGAAAGAAAAAAAAGCAATCCCCAAGCACTCGACAGATACCCTATAGCAATTATTTTGAGGGATATTGAATATTTTTGAATCGCGTGGGCAGTTTGAGATCGTCGAACCGTCCCTCCCGCGTCCATTCGCCTGTTGTTCTCTCGTGTGTTCTCGTGTGCGTCCGCAAACGTTGGAAGCCGGCGAGGTTCGCCCGAGGGAAGCGGTCAGTCACGTACGAGCGCTCGAGCCGCTAAGAACAAAGAACCATCATCGATAAGTAATTACATTTATGTTGATAAAAGCCTCAAAATCCCTGAAAAAGCCGCGTGTGACTGTGGAATTGTCATTATTATCATCGGTGATTTATTTTTCCCCTTCCCACTCACAATTCAGGTCTCAACCTCTTTTGTTTCATTCTGTCTTCGTCTGTCCCCGGGGGACAAAGGAGTCAAACTAAGTCATTCCTCGTTGTGAGTGCTGTGCGATAATTATCGATGATAGTGGGGGAGGACCAGTGACAATACCAGTGGTTTTTGTGTTTAACAGACGCCGGTGTGTGTTCCTAACCTAGACTATTCCGGGGACGCCACTGTGGGATTTCGGGGGTAATTCAACGGAATTATTGTGGAAAGTTCTGGGGGCTCTTTCTTTTTTTAAGTCGGGTTTTGTTTGAACGCTGAGTCCTGCGCTCTTCCTTTGTGTGATATGTGCCACGGTGGAAACGGCATTTGAAGGAGGATTTTTCCGAGCGCCTGCGGATTATTCTCGTCTGTACGGTGAGTCTTTTTTTTTAATGCCTTTGTACTGGGGCTTTTTCAATGCCCCGGTGTTTATCAAACCACGTGCTCATTTTTACGGCTCGTTGGGCCTCTGGTGAACTGAGGATAAAGGAGTTGAGGTATTGTGGGTGGAATCCTTTTTTTTTGGAGGGGAATTGACCGGTTCTGAGGGTTTATTACGCATTTTACTGGGGGAATCGATAATCCGGAGTTTTCATCACTCTCAAGAGTTTGTCAAGTCTCGGGATTTTTCGGAGTGAGGAAGTTGAGGTGTAACTGTTGTTGTCAATGTTTCTGAAGTTATTGGAGTTTTTTGGTGAAGTTTCAAGGAACTGGTTTATTTTAATCGTGCGAAATCGATTTTTATGGACTGTTCCATAAAATTTCATGGAAAATTGGGCCCAGAAACTGTGGACATCGGGTTTGATATTGTTTGTGGAGGGAGTTGAATGATTTCAAACAATTTCAGGTTTGAGAATTTGAAAACTACGGGTTTGTTGTGGAAAAGGGATTAGTTGAGTGGTAGAGTGGAATGACGAAGGTGGGAATTTTACGTTTTTATTTGTTGTCAATTTATCTTGGGAACTATCGTGTTGCGGGGGAAACATTCAAGAACTTTTTTGTAGTTGAGGAATTTCCGGGAAAAAAATGTTTATTGACGTTTCCTCTTAAAGTTGATAGTTACTCAATTAATCGATATTTCTTTGTGATTTCTTTTATGGAGTTCGGAATGAGAGTTTCGGTTATTCAGTTTCTGCTTAATATTCAGGGCTTTTTACACGAATTGAACAGGTCTGGAATTGAATCGAATATTCTTTTCATTTATTATATTAAACCTATCTTCGGACTTCAATATTCTGCTGTCCAAGGTCTATTGGATTTCATCTTGAAGTTTCGAGGGTTCCAAGTTTATTGATAACTATGAAAATTTTATAACGTCTGCAGGGGAATCGATATTTATGGATAAGTTTTTATAACATGGCCCATAAACCGGTGAAATTGGAGGTAAAAGCCCCTGGGTTTGACGTTAAATTTCAAGCCTAATTGTAAAATTCGCAAAGTGCTGTAAAAAAAATCGTAACAGGAGAGGAATTTTCAGGAGTCCTCGGAGAATTGAAGGCAAAACTTTTATCTCTGCAGAGAAAATATTAAATCTACGTGTAATCTGAATATCTGCCGGTAGCCATTGAGGGTACAGAAGATTTAATTTCATTTTGGAGTAAAAATTCCGTCTTTGAAGATTAATATTGAAGAAAAGTCGTGCTAGTGGGCGCTCTGGAGTCATTTCTATTCCATTTCCTCCTCGTAAGGTTTTTTTTATGGGAAAAAATTCAGAATTACAATTTTCCACGGGGAATTGCAGCGCGTAATGAACCCGATGAAATTACTATCGAGGATGGAACTGTCTCCAACCGACACCTCAAGGCCGAGCAGCTGCCCTCTGGAAAATTAACCGACTCTTTTTTTTATTTTTTTTTTTTCGCGTAATCGCACTGAGTGTCGGGGCCCCTCTTTGTTAGTGGAGTTAACCGGCTGGAGAGAGAGTGCGAAATGAAATGGGAAAGAATTTTGCTGTGAAAAAAAGCCGAGGGGACGTAAAACCGGGACTCCGGAGTTCCGGCGAGGGGTTGGCCTCCAAAGATATAGAATTGTTAGAAACTCCCCACATTTATTTATTCATCTATGACTGCTGTCAATTACAAACTCGTCAATTAACACATCTGCCTAAAAATTCGATTCTTCTCGTACGAGAAACTGTGCTGTAGCGAAAAGACGCGTGAGTCTACATCTTTCGTTATTCTTCGATTTATCTACAAAAGTATCAACTCCAGGTGGAAGGGTTAGGGGACTTTTTTGTAACTGGGTCTGAGTTCGAGAGAAAAGGTCTTTTCAGATTTTTTCATGAAATCATTAGTTTTGGAGATCGATTGTGATTTGGTGGGAGTTAAATTTGACGACGCTCAGGTCGCACTTCTTTGAGATTCTCCAGGATATCTCTGAATCTGTGAAAGATGGCGTTATTTTTGTTAGGACCTTTCCCGCAGCTTTCATTTCATTCTACAAAAGGGGTTCTGAGAAAAATTTCGTGTCTCTGTTAGATTCAGAGATATTCCTCAAAAAGAACCTAGAAAGAAGTCGCTTCGTCACCCTTTACCTCCTTTCAACTAAATTCTATTGACAGTTCCGGATTTTTCCATGAGATGATGGAACTTTCCATTAGATCATCGGGAATTTCAGTGAAAAATATTCAACACTGAATTCACTACCGCATTATCTCAATTATTTTTTCCAAAAAGCAATTGAACCTTTCCAATTATTTTGCTTATTTCTCTCTCAAACTTTCTACGATTTTTTCTCCTGAATTTTAAATGCTTTCTAACGGTTAAACGAGCAATTAAATTAAAAAGTTGAGAAGTTCAGGGTCTACTTCTCAATAAAACTTGCAATATTCGATTACACACGCACAAAAACTTCCCAAACACCCTGAATATCCTTAATTCATACCAGTCACGTGACTCGTTAACGCGAATTGCAAATAAATGAATCCATCGTGAATAACTTTTTACATCTGTGACCTTCATCGCACGCCCTTGAGTCCAATTTGAATGATAATTTTTTCTTTTCTTCCACGGGAGAAAGTTTCATTACGCAACTCCCAACCCGCTTGTGCAATCATTTTTACAACGAACCGAGAATTTATTATTTCATTTACCATTATAGTACAGACATTTCTCCCACGTTCCACCGATCAAACGAATATCCAATAAATGATCCAATGGTCCACAAAAATCCAAATTAACCACCAAAAATTACCGAATAATTCTCCTAATTAGCGATAAAAATTATTTCCAATAATTGTTATTAAAATGACGGAAAGAATTTTTTTGGTTTTTGGTTTTCCGTAAGATTGATAATTTTGATTTTTGTCGTCAATTGATGGGTGGTGGGTTGTGAGTTGTGGGGGAGGAGGGAGCGGTGGGCGGCGTGGGGGTGGATTGTATTGATAAAATGAATTTCAAATTTCGAAATGGCGGTTCGAATTCAAAATCACACACGCCCTCGTAGATTTTAACGAATGTTCCCTCGCCACTTTATTCCTCTCGTTCCCCATGTCCCTGTAGACGAGAGATTTACGAGTCCAACGTGGGGGAGGGGGTGGGGTGGGTTAGGGGGGATCGGTCGAGGGGGAGGGGAGAATGGCCCCTTGAGCTAAAGCAGCCAATCGTTAGAGAACGCGCCGAAACTAAAACGCAGACGCTTCCGTTCGTGTCTCTTTCTCTCGTCAAGGCCAGCAATCGAGGCTTTGCTCTTCTCAGTACATCATTTCAAAGACCATAACCCGACTACAGCCTGGACCCCTTCAAGGTCACACGTTGAGGGGAATCCAGAGACGTTTTTAGAAAATCATTCTCATCTCACTGGTAGAAATTCTCAAATTCCCCAGTCTTTCACTTCTGAATTCTTTAATTATTTCTCTCGATATCAATTTCCATCAATCATTCTCGAAATAATTATTCAATGGAGTGAATTGTTGGGCAATTACACTTGAAATTATTAACAACGATAGTTACGTAAAGTTTCTGTGGAATTCTTAAGCGATGAATCAGATGATTTATTGAATATTGCGGTAATATCCCATTTTCAGGCCCAATTGGCAACGTGGTAATATTGACATTCAAACTTTCATTGAAGAATCAATTTTTATTTGAAATTAAACATCAATTTTTCAGTAAATTTTCAACTGTGTAGTCATCAATATTAGTCATAATAATTGATTTAGGGATTTTAATTTGAGAGAAATTTTTTAACGGTGCAGATTGTTCGGAATGCTTTTGGGATTTCGGAATTTTTGAATAATTATCATTTTTTAAGTTATTGACTTTTGAAGTGGAGAATTCTGGTAGTCCTAGGGAATTTCAATTAATCGATTTTCAGTTGGGTCCTTCTGGGGAAATGAACTGTAATTGTTAGAATCTTCTTGAATTTCAGTAATGCCCGCAAATCCGACACTCGCCATTAGCTTTTCGCCGACGCCAAATCTTCTTATCGCGCACCGACAACAGCAGTTTAGGATTTCACCCAATCCTCGGTATTTTTTCCCTCTATTTTCCAATGAAGTGAAACAGAAGATTGAAAATTCCAGGGAAACTGTTGTCGAATCGTGGAAGGAGTGACATTTATTCCCACGAAATATTCAATTGCAATAGGTCTGCATTCAATTGAATTTACTAAAACTACAATCATTGCTTTCATGATAAATTGCAAAATTTCATTGTCCCTTGATTTTTCATTCGTTCATTCATAAAAAAGGCGGTTTTTCCCCGGAAAATTTTTCGTCGGACGAGGATTTCTTGGCTCGCACTGAATTTAGGAATGGTTTAATCGCGAATATATCGACAAAGCCGCGCAATTTCATCCGCGAGGAAATCAAAAATAAAACACGAAATGACTGACGGAGATTGAATTCCTCCGGCATGACGCACGCATTTTTCGGAATTTGAAATAAAAATGCCGAGAATACAGGGAAGAAAGAAAAAATTGGTCCAGACTCTTCTGCGCGCTTATAGCAATTAATTTTTTTCCTCGGCTCGAGTCTTGGGGGAATTCTCGAGAGCTGGATGTTGGAAATAGGGAACAATTGAAAATAAAATTGCAAGAAGATGTATGAAGGGATAAAAAAGGACGGAAAGGATAGATAGGAAAAACTCTTGTTTTCATTGGGTCTTGAGACCAGCGTTGCGGATATTTCCCTCAGTACACGATTAACTCGAGACCAAAATTTAATTTACGTTCGAGGCGATTGTATTGAGCTCCGAGAAATTACATTACGCCTGTAACACAGTAGACAATTTAATTTCGGTTTTTTATGTCCCATTTTTGTGTCAAGCGGAGAATCAGAATTGTCTTAACAATTTCCAGACCCGAATCGCGGATATTTTCACCATAAATTGATGAAATTCTTGAATTTCAATACCAATTTTTCCTGTAAATTTAAT